CACCAATATTGCGATACAAACCTAGAATTAACTTGTCAATTTCTCATTTATTTATTCCTTCATTCAGCAAATGTTTACTACTTGGCTGCACTATAAAATGTGCTTCAGGAGCCCATCCAGGTCTTAGAAAATGTGTGAGACATGCTGTGAAAACTGAAGATGAAATCTGATACAAAGGAAAAATGAAAAAGCATCCCCAGAAATAATTAGAATACTGGTCTGTAACACCAAGAAAAGATTAGACAAATGCTATGGTGATTTAGAGAAGCAAGCAGTTACGTTGAATTATGATGCCCAGACTTTCAAGTGAAAAGTTTGAGGCTTTACCTTATTGTAATCTAACTCACGATATAGCCACAGTTTAATTGATGTTGGCAGATGTGAGACTCCTGAGGAAGAGACAAAAGACTTTAATACCCACAGCACAGCAGGCAGCATAAATTCTCCTTGCTCCCCATACCATAGGGTCGCAGGAAGCAGCCACGGTGTATGTCACACACAAAATGTCTAGATCATAGCTGAGGAACCCTCATCTTTGGAATTCAGCTCATATAAGGGATCTGTTAGCAAAACTTCTAGCTTCTGCCTGGAAGAAAGACATTATCTTCATAATCCAGTCAGAAAACAAATGTGCCTCTTGCCCTCAAGGGAGATTCTCTCTGTGTCTGGCTTTACAAGCACCCTTGGAAAGATAGGAGGAAGCAAAGCTGGCAAAGCTCTTGCTCAAATCATGTGCAGAAACACAGAAGACTCAAAGAGAATTTTCTCCCCAGATAGCAAAATCTTTATGGAAAAACAACCTTTAATCTAGGCCTTGGAGAATAGGTTTAATTAAGTGGAGTTAAGCAGCTAAGCCTTTGAAAGGCAAAGAAAGTTGAATGGACTGCCAGGGAGGAATGTCAGTATATGCCCGTGTACTGTTTTCATCAGTGTCTCCAAGAAACTTAAATATGTATTTCCTAAAGAAAAATGAATTTGCAAAAGTTAATTTTTATTTATGTTTAGCTATTTCTTTTATCTTTCAGAGACAAACAAATTAAAATAAGTAATTAAACATTTTAAAAATCAAAGAAATTAAGAGAGGTAGTTTCTGTCCCTTGGAGAAAAAACAACTTAAAAGAACTAATAATTAGGCTTGAAAATTCAAAGGTCTTAATGACAAGTAGTAACTTCTGGGGTAAATGTGAAAAACCTTTTTTTAGGAACAGTGTGTCCTCAGAGCTCTCAGAAGGCATGACTGTTCCCAAGGTCTACCAATGGCTAATGATTTCACTTTCATGATATGAGTAACATCATAAAAAATCATTTGGAATTGATACACAGCTATTAAATAATTTCAAAAAATAGATGAACATGATTGAAGATAAATCAATGAAAACTTTTTATTCATAAATGGCAAAATGACACTCAGAGAATAAAATAGCAATACAAATGTGATAGCTTTCTGCAAATTGAACATTTGATGTCACAACTCCTAATTTACAGTACAGTATAATTATTTCCACTGCTGCAGAGGGATTAGCTATAGAAGCAAACAGACGCTGGGGGCAAGGTTGGATCATAGACTAAATCTTGAACAGTGGGCAAGAATCTCCCTTATACATTTTTAAAATATTTATTTTATTTATTTGAAAGAGTTACAGAGAGAGGTAGAGACAGAGAGAGAGGTCTTCCATTTGCTGGACGGCCACAACGGCCAGAGCCGCACCAATCCGAAGCTAGGAGCCAGGAGCTTCCTCCAGGTCTCCCATGTGGGCGCAGGGGCCCAAGCACTTGGGCCATCTTCTACTGCTTTCCCAGGCCATAGCAGAGAGCTAGATCTGAAGAGGAGCAGCCGGGACCAGAACTGGCGCCCATTTGGGATGCTGGCGCAACAGGCCAGGGCCTTAACCCGCTACGCCACAGCACTGGCCCCTCCCTTATATATTACTTCATGTGATTATTTGTTTGGAAACCATGTTTTTGTGAGTAGTACAGTTATACTTTTTTCTTTTTTTTTTAAGATTTATTTTATTTGAAAGGCAGAGTTTTAGAGAAGCAGGGAGAGGGAGGTAGAGGGAGAGGGAGGGAGGGAGAGAGAGAGATATCTTCCATCTACTGCTTCACTCCTCAGATGGCCGTATTGGCCAGAGCTGTGCAGATCTGAAGCCAGGGGCCAGGAGCTTCTTCTGGTCTCCCACACAGGTGCAGGAGTCCAAGGACTTGGACCATCTTCTACTGCTTTCCCAGGCCATAGCAGAGAGTTAGATCGGAAGAGGAGCAGCCGGGACTAGAACCAGTGCCCATATGGGATGCTGGCACTGCAGGCGTGGCTTTCCCTGCTATACTGCAGCACCAGCCCCTGGTTATATTTTTTCATAAGAGTGGATTCTATGTTTTCAAACCTTTGAAGTCAATGTTAGCTATGGAAAGCAGCTAAATAAGTTTATTGGAAGAATATTGCTTAGCCATCAAAATTGATGAGGGTGCTTAAGAATCAGATTTGAGCAGTGCAAGCCCCAGAATAGGTTAAATAGTAAGAAACAACACTGCATACTGGCTATTGAATTTATGTATCTAGAAGATCTCTTAAATTCATGTACTGCCATTGGACTATCATAGCTGTTGAACTGACCGTGGCTGTATCTGGGTCTTCAAAACATTAGCACTATCATGAGGAATTTCTCGGTTGTTCCTACATTCACCCACCATTTGCTTCAGGATGTGGAACATATAACTTATAGGCATATGTCATTGGCATAAGATGTAAAGAGCAGGATCAAGCGTGCTCTTATTTGGTCCTTAAGTGTTTAGTAATAAAAGTTTGGGTGCTTGTCTTCAAATTTCACTTGCTGAAATACTGCATGAAACAAAGGATGTTCGAATGTTTCTTAGTCAAAAAGTGGGAAATATCTGCCACAGGTTTCTTCATTTTAGGCTATGGTTAATTCATTATTATTACATTTCCATCCTTTCTAAGTTTGAGGTAGTGCCAGGAGTTCTCATGTCTGAACTTTTGTTCTGTCATTCTAAATGAACCTGTCTTCAAAAGCACAGTAGTGATATTTGCATTTTAGTTTTCATTCCACAGTGCCATCTTTTTCACTGTTCATAATTGTCATAAAAGAGTCATAAACATAAAATGCGTATATAACTTAACATGCACTAATGCATTCTTGGAATGACACAGAAGATCAACACTGTAAAGAAAACACTCATTTTACATATTTGTAATGCATTTAAAAAGCCATTTTCTTCACCTTCTGCTCATGAATTATGCTTTGTTAAACAACTTAGTATAAAGGGCAAAGATGTTAATTTCATTTGAAAATCTCACCAAATTGTGTGAAAGTATTAAGATAACAACACCTTCTATATATTCGTCAACTTGGCTTCCAACAACGAGGACTTAGATAAAAATTTTCTTGTTTGAAATTCATGACTTGAAAATTAAGAATAACTTGGCAAATACAAAAAGATACAAAGTCATCCCAATAATTGTTTGGGTAGATTGGAAAGTATGTTGCAAACAATTATTCCAGCCACCAGTTTTAATAAATGAGAAAATTTTACTTGAAGAAATTGTATTTTGACATAAATTCAAATTTTAAGCAACTTGTCAAAAAAAGAGACTCACATTTATCTGACTGCCTTTCCAGTGCTCTCATCGAGTTGGAGCTAGAATAGTGTTGCTCTGTTTTGTATGTTAGAATAGTTCTTGAGTCATTTTAATTCAAATCAATGAAAAAGATATGTTTGTCTTCATAAGGTATTTCAGAACTTAAATTTTATATTTTAAAATGAAATTTCCAAGCTAATTCCATACAGTTCTTGCACTGCTGTTGAATAAATCATTATTAATAATAAATCTATAGAAAGAGGACTGACAGAGAAAAATACCCTATCTGGGACACCATGTAACTGTCATCTTCAATTCTATATAAACATCTTTTTTCAATTGTAGAAAATAATTATGCTATGACTATATTTTTTAAACATTAATTATATTATCACATAATTATTATAATTCATTCAAAGCTTCATTTCTGTGCTAATTTAAAGGGTTGAATTCCTTGCAATGAGAAAGTGATTCATTTAATAGTTTTTACTAGATAGAATCACCATATTCTTGAATCAATATAATTTTTCTAAATATCTTCAAACATATATACATGAAAATTATACCAAAATTTTGATATGTTTTGAATAAAGTGATAATTTTGGAGTTATTCTTATTTCTCCAAAATTCACATCACTTGTCTTAAGAACTGTTACTCAAGTTTTACTTTTCTGTCCAATTTTTCCAAAGCTTAATTTCAAGTCCTCATCATTTATTTTGAAAATCAAAACATTATAGCTGTTCACTTTTTGCCACTTATCTTTTTTTCTTTTGATCTTTTCTATACACAATGGCTAAAATTATGCACTAGAAATCAAACTAGTGGTATCATTCTCAAGCTTCAAAATCTTTCTTTTGTATAGAATTCATGTCATAGAGTGCTGTATGCAGAATCTGTCAAAACCCATGCAAAGCTGTGATTCACCCAAATGGTGTCTTGCTAAGGCATAACTGACAATCTGTTCCCAAGCATAGTTTCATGTTCAGGTTATAGATATTAATTTTTCCATGATCTCTTCTTTTGTTTCCTTCTAGTTTACTTATAAACGTTTTAAGAACCTATTTGATTGCTGTGATCTTCTGTGACAACTTTTCAACCTTTAGAGGAATTTTGTTGAAGTTCAGTGAGTCACATTTACTCAGTAAATAATCTGTAGTACATGCAGCAAATTTATGTTATATCTAACAGCAAAAAGACAATCTTTATATCTATAGGTGAGATTTCAAATACAGTTGAGTATTACATATATAGAGCTTCATGTAAAAATGCTGTGACATTTGTATTTGCATATGTTCTTGGCTTACCTGCATCCCACTGCAAAAAAGATGTAATTTGCATTCAGATGAAATAGTTAAAAATTACCATGTTTTGTAATGTATACATTTTTTCTCTTTTCCTTAGGTAGAAAATGGTTGCCTATGTTCACCTACTGTGAAGGGTTGGAATCAGACAACTACAGCTTTGATTCTCCAAGTATTTCAGGATGTAAATATGGTCTGACCTTTCCCTGAAGGGCGGTGAAATCATGGACACGCTAGACAATTTACTTTGGACTGTCCTTCCAAAAGATGTTCTAGCTTCTCTCTTGAATGCTCATTAAGCATTTGTAGCTGACAAGGAAAAGAGGGAAAACTGTGAACTGGAAAGTTATCTTACAATGAGAATTACGAGCACTTCTTGCATCTGTCCAGTCCTAGTGTGTCTCTGTTTTGTGCAGAGGTGTTATGGAACTGCTCACCACAGCTCCATCAAGGTGACCAGAAACCAAACAAAACACATTGAAGGTGAAACCGAAGTCCACCATCGCCCCAAAAGGGGATGGGTATGGAATCAGTTCTTTGTTTTAGAAGAACACATGGGACCAGATCCACAGTATGTTGGCAAGGTATGTTGTGTGTTGGTTTTTTTTATTTTTCTCTTGGTAAATTGTGGGGAGAGATAAGGGTGGAATCAGATGAGGATTTGGAGAGACAGAAAACATGTAGTGAATTATGTTATACAAATCTATTCCTTATATTAGATAACTCCAAATGATGATGATAAAAATGACCTTTACCGATCACATCACTTAGCTTTGAACATTGGTCCATGCATTCTGGACTGAATGCTCTTTAACTGGTATTTTACTCTTCTTTTCTTGCCATGTAAAGTGGACTGAATTAAACACATGATTAATTAATTTTGTTTTGAATACTATAAAATATCTTAATGTCTATCATGTCACTTATTGAAACATATCTTTATAGTTAGTGGGCATGAAGCTGAAAAGAATATACTCTATCATGAGTTATAATATGTTTACCTTATCATGACACAGCCTTTTAAAACACAGGATATTTTCCAAATCCCAAAACTAAGTTCAATTAAAATATTGAGTTATTTTCAATATGGTTTAAATAGGCACTTGAAGTATAGGATATTGTTAAAGTTTCAAAAGAACGACTGACAAAATAAGCAGTATTTTCAAAAAAGTTCCTGTCTTTCAGAAATACAAAGAAGATTATTACTTTGCTTATCAGCACTTTCAGGAAACTCTGGGCTTAGTAACATGGGAGAGCTGGAGCACCAGTCAACAGTACTGCAGCCCAGTGCAGGGAGTGGGAAGTCTGCTGATTGATTGATGATGGCAGGAAGCAACCACTCTTGGGAGGGTTCCATACCTGTGGGAAAAACAGCAAGAACATTATTAGAACCTCCGTGATGGCAGGCTCAGGGGCTCTTATCCCCATGACTATTTATTCTCATTTTAGCACTGTTAGTACTAAAAAAAAAAAAAAAATAGTACTCTATCCAAGCCATGGTGCTTCCCTTATGTGTAGGCAGTGCAGGCTCACAAGCCATCTGTTCTCTTCCTTGTACAACAGTGATTGGCTTGCAGCTGCATTTTTCCACATAACACAGAAACTATGGAGTTAGAGAACTGAAATAATTCTATCATCTTTATATGAATACGGAAATGAAATCAAAGTTCCTGTTCAATGCATTATATGTTGAATTCCTGGAAAATGATTTTTGTATGAACTTCTTTTCTGTAATCTTTCAACCTTTAAAAAGGATTAAATAGTTAAAAGCAAAAAGACAAATGCTCCTTTTGGAGTAAATTGAGAGGAAAAATACATTACTATTAAAATATTCTGCATATTTATTGTCATTTTAATTTAACTAAAGAACAGAAACCTAATTTTCTGAAAAAAGAGAGGGGAAAAAGTCAAATAACTTATCCTCTTTGGCACCCTGATTTTTGTCAAATGACAAAATGTCAACAGAAAAGACCAAGTCTAAGCCATCTTTCAAAGATCGCATGTCATTGAGCATATTGCTAATCCTTTTAGGTGAGGATTTTTGGAGGCTTGTGATGGAGTTCAAGTGGGAGTCTATGGAACTGATTTATGTCCTGTTGTTTGTGGTATTGATGGGCAAATTAACACATATAATGATTCACACACTCCTTTCTGGCATGGGGCTCCTCACTCTTAGTCTTTATTCTAATCTGCATGTATGGGTGATTCTAACTTAATTCCTCATGCCTACAACTGAACCCACCATACAGATATAACTGTAACCATTTTATAATACAAACTACAAATGTCAACAATTCCAATATGCTTAAAATAATGCCTCCTTGTGTCATTATTTTAATGTGTTTAGAAAATGTATATCTCACACTAATAAATTCATAATGAGATAGAATTTTTCATGGTACTCATGAATAAAAGAATCTTCACAATTTCAGAGGCATGAGGAGGGCTATCTCCAAAGACACAAAAATAATCTCCTCAGGTCTCTCCAAACCAAAATTTCTCACAGGATTTGTCAAGAAAAAGAAAATAATATTGCTAACATGCAGTTCTAGTATTAAACTAATACTATTTTGTAGGTGTACTAGGTAAGTTTAGTTCAAATTATCTTTGAGTTCTTGATTATAATTTTGTATATTTGTAGCTATATTTCACATCCTTAAACTATGTTACTGGACATTTAATTTGAGCTCATGACTAACTGTTTTGAAACAGACTAGTCCTATATCTTGTGGTAGTTTTCATAGTCTTTTCTCATTCATTTATTTAGTTTATTATGAGGGAATTAATTTCTACTTGGGGGAACCTCCATAAGCACTAAACACTGTAGATCTCAGGTACCTTATGTAAAATTGTATAAATTTGAATATATTCTACACATATTCTCATATAGATCAGATCATCTCTAAATTACATGTAATGTCTAACACAGTATGTTATATAATAGGATTTACTTTGTATTTTAGGCCATGATGATGAGAAAGAGTCTGTACCACGCTCATTTGAGTTCTACTTTTATTTTTCCAAATATTTTGGACCTGTGATTACTTGAATCTTCTGGATGGCAACATGAAAATGTGGAGAGCTAAAACATGCTGTTTCTCTTTCTCTGTGTCTCTCCTAAGTAATCCATGCTTCTTTTAAAAAATGTAATGGCCATGAGAAATAAAATGCCCTAATTAGTGTAGGGAAATGTCTCATGAAAACTTAGGGTAAGGCAAGCATAATGGCACATTTGTTAAAAATAATTCATTTCCTCCTAGACCACATTATGTAGTAATTAGTCATTGTAATTTAAAACAATGTGCTACCACTTTTCCAAAAATTATTTTAAAAATAACAGACTAGTCTATTTTTCATTTTTAAAAAAGCTGAACAATGCTGAATGAATTCCATTATATCATTAAATTTAAGCTATCACACACTTCCAACAATTCATGTCCTACATTATACCTGTCATTGGAATACCTTCATTGTCTTCATGAGCTAATAATGGTTTGTGTCAAAATGAGATGGATTTGAACTATAGCAGCTCTATTTACTCTGTAACTTTCAATTGACAAGTCTCTTAATTCTCTGCATCTTAATTCTCTGCATTTGTTTGCATGTAAATCTTTGAAATATAGTTGGCATTTATTGCTAATTAAAGTATACTATAAATTTTGGTTTGTAGTTTAGATCAAGGGTCATTTAAACTACAGTTGTGTATCAAGTCCAAATTTTATTGTCCAGATCCAATGATGGTTTTGTTCTTATTTTTTATTTTTAAATTGTTGGTGAAAAATTCAAAAGAAAATGTTTTTGTAAAACCTGGAAATTATATGAAATTCAAATTTCAGTGTCCACAAAAAATGTTTTAATGAAACAGAACCACATTTATTCATTTATGTATTATTTATGGTTGCTTTCATGCTACAATGACAGAATTAAGTAGTTGCAACCAAGAGCATATAACTTGAAAAATTGAAAAATATCCATTACTGGAGCCTGCACTAAGGTGTAGCAGGTTAAGCTACTGTATCCCATATGGGCATCAGATGGAGTATGGGCTGCTACGCTCCAGATCCAGCTTTCTGCTAATGTGCCTGGGAGAGCAGCCTAGTATGGCCCAAGTGGTTGAGCCCCTGAACCCACATGGGAGACCTGAATGAAGCTCCAGGCTCCTGGCTTCTGTCTGGCCTAAACCTTGGCAGTTGGAACCATTTGGGAAGTGAACCAGTGAATGGCAGATTCTCTGTCTCTGCCTCTGCCTCTGCCTCTTCCTCTCTGTAATCTGCCTTTTGAATAAATGAAGGTATTTAAAAAAAGAAAAAAATATTCAAAACTGACCATTTACAGAAAACATTTGTGAGCCCCTAATAAGATGACTACCTTATTCAGGATACTGAGATGCATTGTAAGGAGGTTCTCAGTCCATTTTATCTTTGTAGACTCTTATACATGCACTACCAATCACTGTGTTTTTGTAATAATCAAATGTGGTAATTCCCAGGGATGTGATTTGAGCCCTGAACTGAAATATTTTCCAGCAATGTTAATGGCTGTGATGCATATTTTGTTTCAAATTATTGAAACAAAAATCTCTGTAGTTAATCGGTGCTTGTATCCACAGGAGTGTTTTCAGTCTTCATCCCCTTCAGTTGTGGACTTCCCTTTCCTCCATAGTTAATTAGTATTTATTAACTCTGGTATCATTAATGTTGTTTTGTGCCACTACATGCAATAATGTAATAAATACCCTGGTTATATTTACCATACAGGTAGTTATGACTGTAAGGCAGTTTTTTTTAAAAGACCTATTTACTTATTTTAAAGGTAGAGTTACATAAAGAGAGAGAGACAGACAGACAGATATACTTTCCATCCGCTGGTTCACTCTCAAAATGGCTGCAATGGCCAGGGCTGGGCCAGGCTGAAGCCAGGAGCTTCTTCTGGGTCTCCCATGTGGGTGCAGTGACCCAAGAACTTGGGCCATCTTCCACTGCTTTCCCAAGCATATTATTATGGAGCTGGATCAGAAGTGGAGCAGCCAGGACTCCATCCAGCACCCATATGGGATGCTGATGTTTCAAGCAATAGCTTAACCCACTTGCCACCTGCTGACCCCAGGGAGATTTTCACAAGTTGGGTTTTGACTGAAAGATGAATGTCAATCCACCCCCCAGAGGTGTTGTACTATTTTACACTTCTTCCAGTGATGTGTAAAAGTGACTGCTTCTCCACATGATGCCAATAGATGCAGCTGTAAAACTTGGATTTTGCAAATTTAATAGGTGAAAAAATGGTGTCTTTGTATTTTTTAATTTACATTTCTCTTATGAATTAAATTGATCATTTTTTACTATTTATGGGAGTTTTTTAAGGTTTATTCATTTTTTTATTGAAAGGAAGAGAAACAAAGAGGGGAGAGAGAGAGAGAGATCTTCCATTTTCTGATTCACTAAATAAACACCAACAGCTGGGACTGTGTTTGGACAAAGCCAGGGACCCAGAACTCACGAGGGTAGCAGGGACCTATATACTTGAGCCATTACTTGTTGCCCCTTAGGTAGTTCATTAGCAGGAAATTGGATTGAAAGTAGAGGTG